ATGACCTAGGTCACTCTCCAGGTGGGCATTGAAGGAAAAAAAACACTTCTCTTATTGATTATATAAATATGGTTGAGACTGAAATACTTTTTTCCGGCTGGAAGCTTCAATTCTGGTTTATGCTAACCATAATCAAATTAATTCAATTTTTGAAGCAAGAAAGATGTTTAGTTTGAATCTTTAGTTTTGCCAACGGCAGTTACACTGTTAAAAAGTGTTTCTCAAAATTGAGCAGAATGAGCAAAATGTATCTAAATTTCTCCGAAACAAATATAGTCGAATTTGAATACCCCATGCACTCATTGAGTATAGTGACATGCTCATAATTGAAACAGTTCTGAATATCCGTCTTCATTTGCAAATAAACATGGCGGCAAGGTAGAGAAATTTTAATTACAGATCTAAAGACGTTCCTTATTAGCGAAATAAATTTGGAATGAAGATACATGAAGTAAACTTTTATCTAATTAGATTTTCCTTTCGAATTTTGGATCGTAACAAATGAAGTTAAATTAGATGATGATACTTCATTTTTTTATGATGCGTCATTTTAGAGTCTATGGATTTTGCTCAAAAATGAGTAGGAGAGTATTAGATAAGACCGGGTACATCATCGATTGCATCATAACAAATCAATACCTGTAGGGGTACTGGATAGGAGATCGATCGTTCTCTGATTAAGGTCAAAATTAGGATCTGTGGATGAATGAATGGATGTATGAATGGGTTCGCCTTATAAACGGGTGTGACGCATGGTGTGTCGGAAGTCGAATTCTTGGCCATAGATGGCACCACTAGAAACAAGAATCGCACACTCTGCCTTAAATTTGCTAGGTTTCGTCAAGCAGGCTTGCCCGTGCAGCAAATGGCATTAGAACCAACCAACCAACGTCGATTGCCTCAAAATCAGTTTTGTTTTTTAACGATCAACTGAATTATTCCTTACAAGTCAAAAAGATGAGCCTACCATATTGGAGTGTTGTTGCTATTAAATTCATAATCTCTATGTAGATAAGTTTGATTTGATATGTCAACTCTCCAATGTTCTTACGTTTTTAAACTAGCCTTATTACATTATAGAAATTAAAATTAGTCTTATTAATTCTTATTATATGTTTACTAAAGATTCATACCCTAAAAAAGAAGTATTTAGTCCAATAGTAGCACTGCCCTGTTTTGTTTAGAAAAATTCTGCTTTTGGGGTAAAATCGGTTACTTCCAGGTATTCTCCCCCCCCCTCTCCCCCTCTTTAATGTGTGCCACGAAATGCCCTCTTTATGGGCTCACGAAAACAGCAGTGCAACAGCCTTAGAATGTAACTATATCCAAGTCTGAGCAAATATTCTGAACATTCAATTACTAAATTATCTTCTTGTTTAATTATATTGGTAAAAATGAGAGGAAAAACTCTGGAAAAATGCATACTCAAATTTTACGAATTCTTCATTTTTGTCGAAACCATTCCCCTCTGAACGAGTTTTTCGTCCACGTGACAAAATAACTAACGTCACTTTTAAGACGAAACGAATTTCACTATTCTATTTTCTTCCTAAAAAGAAACTAGTAGTACCTAATATATCTAACCTCTCAAATAATCATTTTATCGTTGGCACCATATTGCTGGATCAATGTCGCCTTAACAACATAGGAAAGACAGATAGAACAGAGAGAAAAATTATGCACATGCCTGAAGCAGGATTCGAACCCGGGATCTTCCTAGTTCGAGATTAAATCCTTGACCACCATCCAAGACCCCCGGTAATTTTTGTTACTTTACTTTCGATTGCCAAATCTTCATCCTATTTTCGTAATTTTAGGTTACAATTTCCTACAATGCACTATAGATGAGGCTCTGAGTTGAGAAAACATTTTTGTCAAAAATCACGTAATTTTGCCGAAATAATTCACAAAATTAACGAAATACAGCTCAAGGATTGCTGAATCGTCAAAAGTGAGAGTTTTATTACTGGAAGGGAAATTTCTTTTTTATCCGCGAATTAAACACAAAATTTTCTTTTTCACTCATAAATTATAATTGTTTAATCTTTTCAAAGTTACTTGCTATTAAGTAATGACATCAAATTATTTAAGTTAAAAATTAGATTTTTAATTCTGAAAGCATAATTACCGGCTTACCATTTTGTAACTTCGTTACTGCTCATTACATAAAAAATTCTCTTGATATGATGGGTAATAAAAAAATGCAAGTATTTTTGGTTGTTTATAAAATGACAAACTGGATTTGCCAGTAATATTTTTATTAAACTTTTTTGATGTTACACTGTTAGGTTTTTGGTTTTGTTTTTAAAGATAAATACTTAAAACAAAAGAAACAATTTTTCTACATTGTATTTGAAAGGAATCGCGCTACATTTTCTAATTAAGCAGCATTTCTATAATGAAATATTTAGTTACAATTTCACAAATAATAAATTGTAAAGTTACTTTTTTGTATAATATGCTTATTTTTCTAATAATTTTTGCTTAAAACTGTTCAAATAATAGCTAATTCGTGTTCAGAATTAAAATAATTAATAAAAAATAAGGGATGAAAGTTAACTTTTAAAAAGTTACAATAACCGAGTTAAAGATTAGGCTTAAACTTTATTCCAATAGAATCGACTCTATTGAATAAAGAATGGACTCAATTGAACTCTGACTCTATATTAAAAAAATGTATGTTAATACAATAAAACATTATGGAATATTTGAATTGAATAATTTTTTGTATAATTGAATGTTTGAAAATTTTTAAGTAAATAAAATTATAACAGAATAATTTATAATTTATAATTTTATCTCTTGATGATAAGCTTGTTACTACATGCTTATCATCATCAAGAAATGAAAATGATTGAGAAAATCATCAGGAGGTTTAGAAGCAATATGAACAGGAAACGGAACGTCTAAATTAAAATATATTGCAGTAATAAGTCTTTATACAAATTCTAAAACATCTCTTTGCAATAAAATATATTAGGAAATTTAAACAATAACTGTATCTCTTTTACATAGTGAATACTGCTCTAGCAATAATTATTCTTCCTGAAACTGAATAATATTAGTATTTTAGAAAATGTAACTGAATTATTTTCCCTCGTCTAAATATCATTTTACATCTCTAAATTGATGGCGAAGACTTTTGTTGAAAGTACTTCTGTTAATCTATAAAGAGAAACACATAAAATTTCAAGCGTTGCATTTCACGATTAAGAGCTAAAAAAAAATCTTCTCGTTGCATTGAAGTTCTTGTAATGTTTATTGCTATCCAAGACGTGATTTTAATGGTTAATGTAAAAGTTTTAACACGATAATGCCACTTTTGCAATAAAATTTAATGAATGGTCGAATATACAATACAATTAGAGTCCAGATTTCACTTGATATAATTTACTGAATTTGAAAATAACTTTGCCAAGTTACTAGTTGGATTAATCTGTCGAAAGTTAAAGTTTCTCAGGATCGATATACTTGGCAAAGTACTCACAATTTTGCTTTAATATTAATTTAACAGTTTGAATGCTATATTTCGTAACTTATACCTAAACGTATAGTTTAAAATTTTACAGTGTACTTATATGGCACATTAAGAAAATTCTATCTTAAAGTAATTTTAAAATTAATACTATTCATTTTAATGCATGAGTTGTTTTTTTTTCTTGAAAGCATTATCAAAGAAAGAATAGACCGAACACCGACCGGCCTGTGTAGGGGGCAGGGAACTGTCCTTGCATCAGAAAGGTGCTGGGTTCGAATACCGGACAAGGCATGGATATTTCTTTCGCTCTGTGTGTTCTATGTCCTTTCCCCTTTGTGTGTGTGAATGGGACCCACCCTATAAACGGGTTTGTGGTTGTGTGAATAATGTGGCAGAAGTCGAATTCTTGGCCATAGATGGCGCCACTGAAAAACAAGAACAATGGCACCCTCTCTGCCTAAACAGGCATATGACAGAAGGAAAAAATAAAAAAATAAAATATATCGAATGAATTTTAAGAAAAATAGTGGTTTCGCCCATTTTTTTTATTTTTCTTTTGACAATAAGCAGATCATCTGAAAATAAGACATCTAAATTATGGAGCAATCAATTGAAAGATTCTAAAACTACTCGCAAATATTATATTTGCATGACTTGAATTTTTAACATTTAGTTCCTAATATTATTGAGCTAAAACGTCAACCAAATCACTCAATTATCATTGCAATGTCATCTAGGATATGATTGTTTTAAATTTCGTATAGAAATTTTTGTTTTTAAAATACTGTCTAAATGGTTTTGGACAAATAAATTGATATCCTAAATTAGTCGCTCGGTTACCATTGCAGCTTTATCTAGAATGTGATTGCTTTAAATTTGTGTTGAAATTTCGGTTTTTTGTAATACTGGATGAATGTTTTTTCGTCAGAGAAATTAATATCTTAAATGAATTCCTCGATTACCATTGCAACTTCATCTAGGACATGGTAGTCTTAAATTCTTGTTGAAGCATTGATTATTTGAAATAATCGCCAAATGTTTTTTGACAAAGAAATTAATTAGTGATAACAAGATATCAATATGGTATAGCAACTTATTAATTAAATTAGTAAGTTAGAAGTTGAACTATATTGTAAATACATTTTTCAAATCCATCAAAAAAAAATTGTTTTTTATCGTACTTTTGTCGACGGAGAAAAAAATTCTGCTAAAATTACCGAACTGTTTGTTAATGACATTTCTAGTAAAAAAAACCCAATTCTGGTAAAAATAACTAAAATATACGGTATTTAAACCGTTCATTGTGTGATGTATCCCTTCATATGGTAATGATTAACCGAAAATTCCGGTTTTCAAGATTATGGTTCTTATTACCAGTCCATCAGTAAAAAATAGAGAACTGAAAAGTAAATTTAATAACTATGCTCCAAGGTATCATGATAAAACTACTAAATTTTACCACACTTTCTAAATTTTATTACATATTATAAAATCATATTTAAATGTTAATTATACCAAAATCATTATCAAAGTGCTTTGGTAACAATTATCGAGATTTTTGGCGTTCCAATAGAGCCAGAAACGTCGAAAATTTTACCATATTCTGGTTCTTTTGATTCTTCTTCTTTTTTGTCATTGTTGTAAAAGAATTCAGCTAATCAAAATATTTGTTAGAAGTAAAATAAAAATAACAAAAACTAAACAAAAACTATGCCAAATAATTCCACTCTTTTTAGCTTGTAAACGATACACTCCAAATATTTAAGGTTGTTTACATTGAATTAATACTTTGATAGCACCATCAATTCCAGACTGAGCAACCTGGAATCCTTTTGCCGTATCTTCCAATCTGAAGTGGTGAGTTATCAGGCTTTTCAGGTCTACTATTCCACTTGCTAACATCTCTAGCGCGGTTGGGTAACAGTTAGCGTATCGAAATATCCCTTGGATATCTAATTCTTTTGTTACGACTTCAATAATAGGTAGATTCATTTCTGATGCACCAAGTCCAACCAAGGCCACTACTCCTCCAGATTTGGTAACCTAAGCAATAGAAACTTTTTTACTAATTTAATTGCAAACAAGCAAAAAATTTGCTCTTAACCATTTGCTTACGGCTGGTACAACATATGGACCACATGTGATGGTACAGATGATGCACCGTAAGCAAAGGGTTAAAAAAAGTTGTAAAAAAAAGTATTTGTTTTTGAGTAATTATAAACTGCACTACATAATTCTTTGTTAATATTATTTACAATTAATTTTTTTTTAATTGCACAAAAAATTTTGCAGTTAAAATATAATTTTTTAAAAAAGCGATTTTAGTGGTAGAAATAGTAGTAATTTATTTACGCCACACTGTAGCTGTACAATGGACTATTTGTGACCACCTGGGAAAAGGCTCGTCAGAAAAAACACCATCGAAATTTTGATCCTGTAATAAAGGGTAATTGCGCTTGAAGTAGAGTACTTTGCAATAGAAAAGTGTAACGAAGACAGATACCGAACACCTTTCGTTTCATCGCAGGCTAATCAAAGAGGTCACACTCCCGCGTGCTGACCGCTGACAATGATGCTTGATTTCATTGATCCATTTATTAGAATTCAGTGCAGAAAAAAATCTATTTGCTTAAAAAAATTACAGAAATATGACGAAAGACTCAAAAAGTAAAATAAGCATTCAAATACTTTCCTGACAAAACTATTCGGACAATATCTTACAGGTTTCGAACTAATTCCGATCTTTGCTCTCCTACTTAATTTCAAATAACAGAAACTCAAATCCTTTGCAGAAAGTATCTTTTTTTTCTCACGAAGTACCTTTTTCTGTCTATTTTCCTAAATTTTTGCTTGCACTAATTGATGAAGACTTTAAAGTTTTAGCACGGAAAAGCGATTTATTAAATGTAGGAATGTAAAAGAATTGAATGTAAAATTAAATTGATGTAAATGAAAATTAAATGTAAAACAAAAGCTAATTATTAAATATAGATTAAAAGTTACTCAACAGTTTTTTTTTTTTTTAATTTTTAATTTGTGCCTGGTACATTCCAGTATGCTGTTATTTATAACTAGCCACCTAAGGCGGCCAGCTGTCCGCCCCGCTGAAGGTTTTCACAAATAAAGTTTTTTAAAACATAGCAGGAAATCTGAAGATTAGTGGACAATTAAAGTGTTCCTAGCTTACAATTTTGTCTTCATATCCAGTTCTGCTGCAGATGTGTTATAGCTCTTGAGGATGTTTGAAATTATATAGCTACAACGCTTAAGAAAAAAAAACTAAAATGCTAAATACATGAAAAGAACACGAAAACGAATAAATTTTTTATGGTATCAATTTCTATTTCTATATAATTTTTTATAGTATCAAATTCTATTTCTATATCTGTTACGTCAAGCACTCAGGTATTATAATTTGATCTAGTTGTGCTTGTATAATTTTGATCTAGTTGCGCTTTCTACGTCATTTTGTTAACATCGTTTGGTTTGTTATTTA